TCCCCGTTGCCTCGCAGCTCGCTGAGCCCCAGCGACTCTGTTGCTGCTGCCGCCGCGACGGTGCTGACGGTGCGGCGGCTGCTGCCCCTCCGCCTGCGGGGCGAAGGCGGCGGCCACGAGGGAGACGGAGGCGGAAGTGTCGGCGCGGGCACCAACGGAAAGTTAAGTTGGCGCTTTTGCGGCGAGAGCACCTGGACACTGAGCGGGAAGTTGCTGCGGTGGGAAAGTAAGTATTGGCCGTTTACTTTTGTGCGAGGACGCCGAAGAACAGTACGAGGAGTGGGGGTGTGCCACGGCGTGTGCTGAAGCCAACGAGGGCGGTGTTGCGTTCACGACGCAATTTGGGCGTGGCCAGGCAAAGAGAGGGTGGAGTTTGCAGGGACCGGCCGACACCAAGCAACACCGTCGTCGCCCTCTCTGATGAGCCAGACATTTGCCGGCCACCGCTCACGGAGGGGGGCTGCTGCCTAAACGCGCCGCCCCCAGAGGCACCTGCAGCGGGCACCCCGGCGACCGAAGCTGCAGGCGGTGCTGAACGGCGCACAGGCTCAGCCGCCACAGCCGGGCGCCCGGGCGCTTGCAGCCCCCCGCTTACGGGTCCTGCGCCCAGGGAAGGGGGCGCGGGCCCGGACGCCTCCCGGGACTGGGCCACGTTCATCACCGACGCCGGAATGATGCTGCGCGTGGGAATGTGGCTCCCTTGCTGCTGCTGCTGCTGCTGGGGTTGCGGGGCGCTTGCCTGGGCGGCAGAAGACATCGGGGGGGTGGCAAGCCGAAGAGGGACACACACGCGCAATCCAAAAATAATTCATTGCTGTCAGTGATGCCTTTTTTTTTGTGCTCAATCAATTGTTTTTGTTTTAATTCTTCTTTTGCACGTGCGTGAAGGCCCTACTCTCGGGGGCGGGCCTACATGCACCCTTCTTACTTTTCGTCACTCTACTGCTTGCGCTGCGCCATCCCGCCGCACGGAGGCGCGGGCTCCTCGCAAGGCTGCCTGCACGCCCCCACACAAACACACGAGAGACGGCACTCTGCCGCCGTGGCGCGCCGACGAAGGGAGGGGGGCGCGAGGAGAGCAGCGGCAGCAACAATACGCCGAAGTTCAGCAGTGAAACATGAACGATGCGCGTGGATGCGTGGAGGAACTCTTTAAAACATCTTTATTTTTTCAGTGGGAAAGCATCATGGAGTAATTATTTTTTTTTTTCACTGGGGCAATTTGGGGGAGTCAAACAACATGGAGGACGATATGTTCTTTTTTTTTTCTTTTTGCTTTCATCATAGCTTTCCCGTGGCTTGCCGCTGCGTGAGCTGCGGTGGCACCTCGGGCCTCGCCACTCCTCCTTGTCTTGCTTCCCCTCCCGCATCGCTGTGTGTGTGTGTGTGTGTGTGTGCACTCCCTCCTGCTTCGCTCTTGCCTTTGCGCGTTCGTAGGTGGGCGCAACCGCGCGTTGAGTGTTGCCGTGCGCGTGGATGACTGCGGCGTAGTCGGCGCAGGGCGCTGCGGGTGGGAGTGTTGCCCTGAGGCGCGGCGCAGTCAGCCGCAGCGACGCGGCGGGGAGTGAGGGGCCCCTCTGGCCCGCCGCTGCTGGCAGCGCCCCGTGCGGCCCCAGTCGCGCGGCAAGAC